AGGTTAAGAGGTGCGCCGTTTTCCTCATTTTAGAGCCTTTTGTTGTTTCTAAAGAAGAAAAAAGAGTAGAGAGTGTGAGTGATCTTTTGGGAGCTTTTGAGTGCCTTTTTGGTGAGTTGGAGGCTTGGTCTTGGTGATTGAAGGCTAGTAGAGGCTAGATCCGTGCTGTGGGGTCTTAGAAGAGTCAGATCTTTCCTCGTTCTTCCCTGTTTTCGTTACAGTTCAATCTTGTAAAAGGTCAGTGCATGACTAAGGCTTATCTAAGCATTTTGATAATTGTTTTGGGTGTTTTGATGATTGTTTGATTGATTTCTTTGCTTGTTTGGTTGTTTTTGTGTTGAATGATCCCTGTGAAATCCCTTGGAGACTCGTTCATAGCATGAGGTGTTTTGGAGTGGAGATCCAGTGAGGAAACGCAGCTGGAGGGACTATAGAGTGGTGGTGTCGATCGACACCAGTGGTCGATGTCACTCGACACAAACGTTTTGTTCCGCTAGGATAGTTGCGACTCGCGGTTCTTTCTATTTGGTATCAGAACCCTTGCGGTTCTAGGGAGGGATTAAATTGCTGATTTTGATGTGATGTGTGAATTTTGTTGATGAGAAATGATGATGTGAATTGCATGCTTAATTGATTTAATGTGTTTAATCGATTGTGTGGGCATGGAGACCTAGATCATTCTCTCAAGCCTTCAATGACATTCCGCGGTAAGTTGTGTGTTTTGTGATTTCTGCTCGGTGTTCTTAGCCTTATGTTGTGGTGGAGATGGTTAGAGGTGGAGCTGCCGGTCGTAGTCGTGGGCGTAGTCGCGGTGGGAGGCGTGTTGTGGCCTATAGTAGCGACACGAGTGTGGACCGGGGTACTACGGCTGAGCATGTCAACGAGTGTGAGTGTCGTCAGAGCCGGTTTTCCCAGAGACGGTACTGGTGTGGCTGGAAACCCGGTTGGGGGTATTCCAGCAGATGGGGCCCAGGGTCAGAATGATCGGTTTGCAGATCTGCTGACACAGCTTTTGGAGCGGTTATCGGGAGCGGTACCGGCGCAGGTTCCAGTTGGACCGCCAGGGGTGGGGGGAGTGCAGCATGTTGGGCCCGGAGTGCAGCCCGGTGTCAGGGTTGTGCAGCTCGGTGTTGGGTTGTGCAGTCCAAAGGGGTAGGTGCGGTAGTTCGAAATGTCCTTGTTCTTTGGGGGTTCGGCAGTAGCGGATGAGTGGCGGGTGCAACTGAAGCGGTACTTCCAGCCCACACACCAAACTGGTTCACATGGAGCATTTTGGAGAATGCTTGCCTATATGGAGTGCTGAACAAGCTCAAGGCCTAGGATTAATTATTCACCAGCAAATTAACCCTAAGAAGACCAATGGTTCAGAAGGAATCATTTACCAAGCAACTGATTTGACGATGGTACATCTTGATGTACTAGCTGAAGTACTCCCTGACGGACCTAAAGTACTCACCTACGAACCTGAAGTAGTACAAGACTAGATGAAGTTATTCAAAGAAGTTTTTCTTGTACCACGTAATGGTGTGTATGGACATTTGAATTGGAGCCTAGAAGATACTTTACACCATTCAAGGCCCATATCACACAAGAGTTGGTGCACCTCATCTCACATGATTTTTATGGAGCTTAAAATGGATGTTTCCCATGGCGACCTGGAGAGTTTCCATATCACTTAGAAGCTTCACTATACCCTCTAGGATGCACCACACCACACTTGATCAGGAGGATCAAGTCTGAGCTCTACTTTCCTTATTTGGACCCGTTTGGCATCAACACACAACGGCTCCTTCCTTCTTTGTTTGTGTGCGTGTTTAAGGCTCTTTCTAACATCAAGAAGCACACTCAACATATCTCCCAAAACCGTCCAGATATAAGCCCAATCATATATCACCTCTTTAGCCAAGGATCTCACCATAAAGACTCCAACGGCTAGTTTTTTTTATCACATATCTTATTTCTTTGGTTAGATTTTAGAATGTTGTACTCAGCCCTATATAAGCTGATCATTAGTCACATTGTAAAAACACCCGTTATCAATATAAAGTAATAGAAAGTTTTCTTCTTGTCAAAGTTTGAGTCTTTGTCAATCTTCTTCGTTAGTTCTTTGTGAGTGAGTCACTTAGTTCTTTAGAAACCTGCGGATTAAGTTTATTGAGTGATTAAGCATTCTTTATTTGTTTATTGATTGAGTGAGTTGATTATCCAACCGATTGAGCGAGTCAATCACCTGAACTATCCCCTGTACCACCCCTTGATTCACGAGAGAGTGCTTCAGAGCTGGCTCGTGAATTCCACCTTCCGCAAGCTAAGCTTGGAATCTCTTGATCATCAAGTGATCTAAAGTTGGAGTGATTTGAAGCTTGCATCATCTGGTATTGAAGGAGTGTGGTGGCCAAGAGGGAGCAGGGATTGATGGTGTGGGGGAACTTCTTGGCGGAGTTTAATGCCAAGTATTTCCCAACCAAGGCACTTGACCGGATGGAGTCGCAGTTTCTGGTGTTGACTCATGGTGAGCGGTTGGTGCGGGAGTACGACTCGGAATTTAGCCGACTCTTGGTGTACAGTCAGATGCGAAGCAATTACCCCTACTTTTTAAAGTATCCTTCTTCCTATTTAGGGGGTTGAGGAAAGAAATGGCAACCTTACCTGATTTTGACATTCGACTTGAAAGGAAAGGATAAGGGGCCTCTAATTTGTTAATGAACCAGATTTTTTTAGGAAGAAATTGGTCAAAGCAGTTGGTAGGTTCGTGCCCAGGTTCACTCGTGAAAGAAAAGTTATAGCGGTAAAGTAAAGAAAATCCTCCCTTCTTGCGAAATGTATTGAATTGATTCTTTTTAATGAAAGGGTTTGTTTATCCTTCTAGTTTCGAGTGTCTATGCAGGTAAGTGAGCGATGAACGCCTTTCTCTGTTGCAGCATGTACTGTTTGTTTGTTTCCGAGGTGCGGGAGTTCCGGAACATATGCTGGTGCGTCGTTTCATGAAGGGTCTCAGCCATGACATGAGGGTGAAATGCAAGGTGCAAACCTATGTGTCGCGTGTCGAGTTGGTTGAGGTGGCGGCAGATATAGAGGACGAGTTGAGTAGTCATGGAATGATTCCTAGTCCGTCGGTGCAGCCGAAGAAGGCCCAGCCGCAGTCGCTTCCGAGCAAGGGTGGCAAACCTGCTCAGGGACTGAAGAGTAAGTGGGATGACACTTCCAGGATAGGTCAGAGTAGTCGGAGATACTTCAGGTGTGGGGGCGTGGATCATAATGTGGCGAGTTGTCCAAAGAAGGGCGAGCCGTGGGTGGATACACGTGTTAGTTTCCACTGTAGAGAGATGGGGCACATCAAGACGAGGTGTTCTAAGGCGCAACAGATGGTGGTAGCAGCTGTACAGTCGGTGGTGCAGCCGGTAGTGCAGCCAGGGGTACAACAGTGGGTATAGCCAGGAGTGCAGCTGGGAGGGCAGTCTTGGGCTCAGCTGGGAGCACGGCTGATAGCTTAGATCGAGGGATCGCGGGATAAGCACTGGATTGCCGATCACAAGTTTAATTCTAAGCTTCAGTCTGGTTCCTTGTGTCGTTTTAAAATTTGTTTTTTGTGATTGCGGGGTTGGGTGTTCTTAGTGAAAAGGGTTTGTGGAGGGACCCTGTTGGTGGGTAGGTTCTCGTCCCACGTGATGTTTGATGATTCTTTGATTGATTTCTTTGCTTGTTTGGTTGTTTTTGTGTAAATGATCCATGTGAAACCCTTTGGAGACTCGTTCATAGCATGGGGGTGTTTTGGACTAAAGATCCAGTGAGGAAATGTAGCTCGAGCGACTGTAGAGCGGCGGTGTCGATCGACACCAGTGGTGGGTGTCGCTCGACACCAATGTTTTATTCTGCGAGGATAGTTGCGATTCATGAACAGAGTGTCGAGCTCGGTGTCGACCAAGAGTGTCGATCGACACTGGTTGTCATCATTGACACTGCTAGTTGTTATTTATTGGTTGTTTAGTTCAATTCCTTGATGATGATTGATAATGCTTTTGTGTATAGCCTAATGGTTGGGATGAGTGCCTCACTAAGTATTCTGGAATGCTTATGCATCTCTTTTCTGTGATGCAGGTAAAGGCAAAGTGTGATCCATGGAATCATGGCGAGGAGAGGAGGATGATCTAAGGGCTCGTTGATTGTTTGGATTAATGTTTTAATTGTTAGTATGTTAGTTTGGAATTTAGAAGCATGTTAAGTTGTTATTTCTATTTATGGATGCTGTCTGGTTTGGTTGGATTGCTCGTGTAATACAATTTCGTTATTTGGATTGGTTATTTGTGAGCTTCTGATTTATTGGTATTGTCGGTTTAGTTGGTTTAAATTGATTAGGTCCGGTTTAGTTAGTTTAGTTGGTTTAAATTGATTAGGGCGGTTTAGCTGGTTGGAATTAATTGGGTTAATCTGGTTTGCATGTCTAAAAAAAAAATGGGTCGGGTTCTTTCATAAGCACCTTGGGGCTGTTGTTGAGGCACAAAACTCTGCTTTTGATTGAAGCCAACGAATGGCTTATTCGGAAACTATTGTTGCTGTGGAGGGTAGACTTGGTCTTGAGGGTTAGCGACATTGGTGCTCCTATAAAACAAACTTAGGTTGGGTTTCTAGTTGTTGTAACCCTTTTGGTAACCTTCCTAATTCTGAATATAGCTCACTTCTTCAATATTTTAACAATCCCCTTCTTGATGTTGAAATGGTTCCTCCTCTTAAACAAAGTGTACACTCTTCTACTGGTTCCTCAAAAACATATCTAACTTTAAGTGCTTTCATATCTTTCTTATACCTTTCCTCATGATTGGTGCTGCCTCGGACAGTCCTATCATAGTCTTCATTGTAGGTACCATCAGATTGCGCTAGGTTCTCCACAAGTTCCCAACCAGCTTCAACATCCTTATTGAGAAAGTTCCCATTACTAGCTGTATCAAGAAGCATACGGAACTCAGGTAAGATTCCTCGGTAGAGTGTACTGAATAGTGATTCATTACTAAACAGGGCATTGCGATTGATAGCCCTTGAATCTCTCCCAAGCCTCACAAAATGTCTCGTTGTGCTTTTAGGCAAAACTGGATATCTCATTCCGGAGACGAGGTGTTCTTGAGTTGGAGAAGAACTTAGCTAAAAACACCTTTTTGCACTCCTCCCAAGTGATAACAGATCCGCGGGCAGTGAATTCTCCCATTGATGAGCCTTATCCCCAAGGGAGAATGGGAATAGTCTGAGTTTGAACCCATATTCAATAACACCATTGTCCTTAGTCAAACCACACAACCTATAAAATTCATCTAGGTAGTCCAAAGGGTCTTCCATTGACAGTCCATGAAACTTGTTTCCTTGAATCATAGGAATCAAGTTGCTCTTGATTTCAAAGTTATTGTTCTGAATAGCGGGAGGCACGATGGGGTTAATGGGTTAATTTATCCTCTTAATCTCATTGGGGTACTTAACCTAATCAGTCCAATCTCTTGACAAATATTATCAAATCAAGCACTTCCTAATCTCAATTCTAATTGAGGAAACATGCAATAGATAGGCATAAAGATCAAGATCATTAATGTCAATCTAAAAAATGAAATTATTCTCTGCCTAATCATTAATAATCATTAATGAAGGGGCCCGCCTCACCACTACTCCTTAAACAACTAATCTCTTAGGTAAGAAAATGGATCTCTGGCATTAGTGGATCCTACATTTCATTAAACACTTTTTAAGTGCTGAAATGTCTAAGATCTAATCCCACATGGTTAATGCAAAAATTAGTTTTAAATCTCTAATCCATAAGAGATTTATTGAAATCTAAGCTTAAACACCCCTAGAGACTAAGATTCTTTACTAACCTATCCCATCCTCAAAACCCTAAAAAACTACTCAGATCTGGATTTCATCATCAAGAACACAAACCCATAAATCTCTACATCATGCATAATCAGAAAGATAATGATCTAAGGAGCAAGACAATACAAAGAAGCAACAGCAAAAACTCAAAAGATATTAAGATTACAAGTTTCTGGAAATGTTTGGTGGCTACAGAGAAAAACCCTAATGACACTCAATTTTTTTTTCTTTTAATGACCCAAGGTCTCTATTTATAGTAGATTCTGAAAGCCCTAAAACGCAAAAACACAAATTACAAAGTCGGTTTGAGGTGAGCTCGATCGGGTGCATGTTGGGCTCGTTCGGGTCCTCTCCAAGCTCGATCGAGTCCGCTTCTTCTTCACGATCTGAGCACCTGGTTGTGTCCACCTTGGTCGTGGTCTGGTCCGGTACACTCAATCAGGTCCATGTCTTTGAATGCTCAAAAGTGTCTCGAATGTACATGCTTTATCTCCAAAATGCAAAAACATGCAAATGCCTTTGCTAAAACTCCTAAATGAGCAATATGAAAGAAAAGAGACTAGAACTCATAAAAAATATGACTCAAACCATGCAAAATATGCACAAAATATATGCTTAAGAATGTTCAAATATAGAGTCATCGTTCGGTATCCAAGAAGTCTCACTACTCCTCCCAATCTCAAGTTGCAACCTTCAAGTCATATTGTTCACTATCAGGCCCTCAGCCTTGAAACTATGGTGTCTAGGGTGTCATTCTCGCACTCTGGTCGTCACCCAAGGCTATCACATATCATCCAAGAAAATAAGTATAAACTCCCCCGAGGATATCTCTAGATCAGATATATCTTCAGTGGTTCTCTTATGACATCGCAACGCTATATCAACCACCATACCAAAACTTACCAAAAATAGAATAATCCAACCCATAAAATTCCATTTTAAGAACTCAAACACATATTTGTTTTTCTATGAAAACACAAATCAAATTCCAAATACTCCTTTATTAAACTCTAGAGTCATAATCGTTACAACCAAAACAAAAAATACAAAAGAGTTAAAACTAAATCAAATGCTCAACTCCAACACGAAGAACAAAACAAGATCACCAGTCTAAACCTTGACATGCTTGTCGAACTATTTCTGGAACCTTGCCTTCATCCTCGCCTCAGGCTCTGAAGTCTCCTCTAAGACCACATAACAATTCCATTATAATCTCATCAAAGGAATGTTCTTGCGCCGAAGTTCCTTAACCCTCCTTTCGAGAACCCTCACTGGTCTCGCATCTAGAGTCATGTTGGGCTAAGGAGATGCAGGAATCTTAGCCAATACCTCATCATCCTTATGTAATCACTTCCTCAACTTCAGCACATGAAAGACCTTGTGAAATGCCTGCATAACCTCATCAAACTCCAACTGATACGCCACCGGTCCTACCTGGTCAACAAACTTGAAAGGACCCATATACCTGGAACTAGCCCTGGGCAAATGGTTTTTTTGGTTAAACGAGTCAAGTTAATCAGTTTTTAAAAAAATCGGTTTACAAAAATTTTCACTGAATTGGACCGAAATTAATTTCGGTTTGGGTCGGTCGGTACTCGAAGAAGTGGTGAAGACTGAAAGCGATGAACTGATGAAGATTAAGGAAGAAGTTTTGATTTTTTTGGTTCTCTTCTTTAGGGTTTCGTTGCAAGAGGAGCCATGGACAACAAAGAAGAATAACCTAATTAGGTTTAAATTAATGATTAGCCTTTTATACTACAACTGTATAATCTTGGTTTACTCGGCGATCCGAGTACTGAACCAAATAAACCGACGTCCAATTTCACTAAAAAGTTTTGCCGATCGGTTCAATGTCTTCTAGTTTCTTGGTCCCAATAACTGAAACATTAGGTTATTTCGGTTCGGTTTACTCCATATGCCCAGGACTACTTGGGACTTAGCTTAGTCTCTGTAAGGAACCTGTTAGGACCACACAACATTGCCATATTGAGATACACCCTGTCTCCCACCTTGAACTCCAACTCCTTACGTTTCTTATCAACTCTTCTGCCGATCTTGAGCCTCCTTCATGTTCAGCTTCAGAACCAGGATCATCTCCGAGATCTCCTAACCAAAATATGCACCATATATGCTCCCCTTCCTCACTTGAATCTAGCATAACAGTGTACGACATGACCTCCCATACCACGCCTCATAAGGAGCTCTCCCATGCAATACTCGCCTGGTACCTGTTGTTGTAAGCAAACTCCACCAAGCTCAAGTGATCCACCTGGTGACCACCATAATCCAACCCAAACATCCTTAACATACCCTCGAGTGTCTGGGTAGTCCTCTCAGATTGCACGTCTGTCTAAAGATCGTAAGCCATGCTCAGATTCACATTCATGCCCATTTCTTTCGAGAAAGCTTTCCAAAACCAAGAAGTGAACTTCGAATCCCGATATGACACAATACTTTCCTGTAATCCATGAAGCTTCACTATCTCTCGCACTGCAGCTTCGTCAGTCTTGTTGGTAGCCAAAAAATGTGCAGACTTTGTCAAAAGATCCACAATGACCCAAATGACATCTTTACACCGAGACACTAGTAAACCCACCATAAAATCCATCGTGATCATGTCCTATTTTCACTTCGGAATAGGCAGACAATACAATAACCCACTCGGCACCTGGTGCTCAGCCTTTATCAGCTGACACACGTCACACTTAGACACCCTTTTCACCCACCAGGGTCTCCATATTCTGCTCTTGAGCTGAAGCCGCCTCCTTCTTTCTCAAAGCATCTACAACCAAGATAGCCTTATTGGAATGGTAGGCTATCTCCATATCATAATTTGCCATTAACTCCATCCACCGCATTTGCCTCAAATCAACTCTAGCTTAGTATATATATACTTTAGGCTCTTATTATTTGTAAACATCCTGATTTGGTAACCCCTACTCACACTCCGGAATCCACACAAAAAGAACATCCTTCCTCGTCAGCTTGGTCATTGGTTGAGCCGTGCTCGTAAAAACCCTAAACGAACTGAGCGTAATACCCCGCCAACCCGAGAAAACTCCAAATCTCTATGACATTCTACCGTCTGTTTCAATCTCGGATGGTCTTAATCTTCTCTGAATCCACAGAAACTCCCTCTACAAAAACAAAGTGACATAGAAAGCCCATCTTTCTCTGCCAGAAACTGCACTTACTCAACTTAGCATACAGCTTCTGCTCCTGAGCTTCTTCAGGACTGCCCTCGAGTGCAACTCGTGCTTCTTAAGACTCATAGAATACATTTATCAAGTGTCGATAGAGGAAACATCCTTCACGAGCCAGAGTTAGCATGTCACTAGAGGCATTCACTTGAGGTGCTCACTCGTCCAACATGGTCATGACGATTCCTGAACCGCTTCTTTTCTTTTGTCGTTTTATGTATTAGGGTTTTTCCAACATTACTATTAATATGTCTCTTTTTGCATTTTTCAAGGGATCGAGCTTTTATCCTTAGGTTTTTGTTGTTAGCCACCTAACAATCCAAAAAATTGTAATCCAGATTTCTTTTAAGTTATTAAGATTTAGCACTTAGTTCTTTGATCATTGTTGTTTATCTTCCTGTCATCTTTAATATTATGTATGTTTTTGAGAATTTATAATATAAATATTGCATAAACAAAAGAATCCCAAACTTTCTAAAATAAATATTTAAAAAAGAATATCTATAATCTTCCTTTAAACATATTTATCATGCATTGTGATTGTTCGATTTTTTGGATTTTTTTTTGGACAACAAATCGAATAGATTGACCTTCTCCTTAGTATGAGAGAAAGAGAAAAGGTTCAAAATTCTTCCCTATCAGTCTTGATGTCATGCAAGTATACAGAGAATGTCGGCCACTATGAAGGTGAAGACAGCATCTTCACCAAGTCGGAATAGTCCGTTAGAAAACAACGTCTCTGAAGTCATGGCAAATCATACATCTCATTGCCCACACCAAAACCTCTACTTCATAATGAAAAGGGGAAAGGCTTCGTCGGAGGTTCGATGCCCCCAAAATCGTGGATCCATCATGAGCGTGTTGACAACACCATCCTATACTTGCATACTTATCCGTATCTTTCCAAGAGCCATCAACAAAACACCTATAACCAGAAGAGATGGGAAGTATATTTGGGACTCGATTGATTTCCCGCGAGCCATGTCCCGGGGGTCCAACACCGCTTTTTGATCTTCAATTTGTGCCGCCTGCCAAGCACTTGCCTCATCCTTTGCTAATTTAGTGACAGCCAGCGGACATTTATCCACATTCTTAATCATTTTAACATTTCTAACCTTCCATATATACCATAATAACAAAGGGTAAAAATCAAACTTAGCATCCCTATTCGACAGACAATAGAGGTAATCCATGTTTGCATATATAGACGTTGTGAGAAATTGACTAGGTCCCACGGGCACTTGGGTCAACGCCCAAGATTGGCGGGCCGGTGGGCATTCGAAGATGGCATCATTTAACAGTTTCCTCCTAGGCACCACCCCTACTACATAATTGATCACAATTCATTCTTCGTTGATCATTACAATTACAGCAGTCATATTTTTCCTTACTACCTAACAATTTCTCAAAACAAAGCATTCTTTAAATAAAAGGAATAAAATCCAGATTTTGGTACAAAATCGTGTCTTGGGAGATTGGTTTCCAACTTTCTGTAAGTCGCGTTTTCTAAAAGAGTTGACTATATTACCCTTTATATTTTCAAAATTTTCGTAGTCTCTTCTTTTAAGTCACGCCACGCGAGTCGTGATTGTCACCATCGACGGCTCGAGGCTATCTTTATTGCCGTCGTATATTTGATTGGATGAGCCCTAGTAAACAAACAATGGTACTTGTCTCTGTCGAGAAATTTTTCAAAAGAATAAACCAATATAAAAAGAAGAACGACGACTTTCGAGGAATTTTATAATGGAAAAAAGGAGCAGATGCTACGAAAACACACTTTTTTTATGTCAACTGTTTTTTTTAATTCGTATGAACAATAATTTTGGGGAAAACATTTCGATCTTGCTTCTCTTCGATTGGGTGGTTTTTGTTAGTTATGTTTCCTCCTCTTACTGGCTTTAAAGTTTTAGGCTTTGTGTAAAATTTGTGAAGAATCGGAGATGTCACCGGACAGAGAGCTTGTTTCGGTGGATTCGTCATCGACGGTTGTTACGGTGAAGAGGAAGACACCTTAGTTACCGAGGAGTTGGATTTCTATAGACGCGACATGGCAAAAAACGGTGCTTGACGTTGATAAACACGTGATTATGCACCGTGTTCAGATCCACACTCGTGATCTCCGCATCCTTGACCCAAAACGTTTTTACCCTTCTGCTATTTTGGGTCGAGAGAGAGCCATTGTTTTTAACTTAGAGGTTGGTACTTTTGTTTGCTCCTCTGGTTTTGTTTTCTAGGTTATCATGTTCTCATTGTTTTGGTCTAATGCTGCATATCAATGCGATCATCACTGCTGAAGAGGTCAAAATCAGTTTACGTTTTCTTATATAGAGTACTAGCAGTTGATCCGCGCTGCGCGCGGGAGGTTTATAATTTTTTTGTTAACTTCTTATTCATATTGTGATATGTTATTTATTTTTAATTGATTTTCAAAACATATTATAGTTATTTTCTCTTGAATTATTATCTTTCAATATTTAAATTTGGATTAAAAGCATTTTCTTATTGATCATGTTATAAACTAATATTTCACTTTCAGTTTTATTTTTTCCCTTTAAAATTTTATATATACAATTACATAAATTTTGTTTTTATTCTACCATAAATTTAAAATTTACTTACATTCTTAAACTCAGTAACACATTTAAAATTTTAAACTATCATCAATTTAAAATGAAAGTTGAATTATATTAATACCACTAACTAATAAAAAATGAAAATATTTCTTATTTAATATTTTATTTATTTACATAATTTATTTTTATTTATATAAATTTTCTATTAATTAAATAAGTAGAATAAATATGCACTAATTGAATGTTTTAAATTTATTTTAATGTTAAAAATGTGGTTTAGGTGGATGCTTAGGTGGCATCATGAGAAGAGAGAAAAAGCTAACTTTATATATATAGATTATTTTTTACTAGCTTGTAGGATAATGTTAACACTTTGTTAATAAGTTCAATAGTTGGAACATTTTGAATCATGGTTTGGTTTGGTTACTTACTTACTTGAAAATGCTTTACAGGTTTTGATTCGGGATTCGTCAGATGAAATATTCCCGTCCTGGAGGAGTTTCAGAGACGCTTGCCTCTTGGAAATGAGGCACACGGTGCTCACGCAGATGGTGATATGGGTGAAGAGAATGGTACATACCCCTCAACTTCTGTTATTGTCATCACTAATCCATTTCCAACTACATTTTAAATTAATTTCAGTTTTATGAGGATTGTTTCATTTTGTAGATCAGTAGCCGTAACTTGGGAAGGGTTCGTAAATTGAAGAGTGCCATGACCAGATTGACAGCTCGGGTCCAAAAGGTGAGCATATACCAATGGGAAACATAGTCTATGTCTAGAAAGTAAATATTTTTATGAATGATACTTCAGCCTCATGACAATGAACTGTGTAATAAAGTGAGTCATAGACTCATTTTGTACTTTGAGTATTATCCCTCTTCACATATCTAATGTCAACCTCTAGCAAAAAAAGACTCGCTAAAAGAAAAAACCATCACTTTTTTTGCAGGTAAGGGATGAGCTCGAACAATTGTTGGATGATGATGGTGATATGGCTGATCTCTACCTTACGAGGAAGCTTGTTGGGGTATCTTCATCGCCTAACGTTTCTGATGAGCCTATTTGGTATCCTACTTCTCCAACAATTGGTTCTAAGATTTCCTGAGCAAGTAGAGTAAGTTTAGCCACGATTCGCGGGGATGACGAAAATGATGTTGAAGAACTTGAAATGTTGCTCGAGGTTAATTTTTAGCATATATGTCTACCATCAAATGTGATATTTTGTTTAACTGGCATACTTTATGCAAATAGATAGCACTTTGAACAAATTAAACGAGGTATTGCATCGTCTTGTTCCTGTTTCTTTTCTAATGGTTAATCTATGTGATATATACCTCTGAGATAGAAAGGACAATTAAACATGACGCAGCTACGTGAGTACATTAATGACATAGAGGATTACATTAACATCCAGGTAACCAAAATGAAAACTCAGTTTCCTAAATGTTATTAATTAAGAATGTAATCTCTCTTATAGGCTAGTGCAAACTATGATCACTTTTGATTTGCAGTTAGACAATCATCGAAATCAGCTGATTCAAGTGAGTAAATACAGAAGAAAGCTCAGGATTCATAATATATTTTTCTTTTTTTTTTCAAATATTTTGATGCATATAAAAAAACTTAAAAGCCTCTCTGCAGTTAGAGCTAATGTTAAGCTCTGGAACCGTCTGTGTATCAATGTCCTCAATGAACGCCAGAATATTCGGCATGAACATTCCCAACACATGGAACCATGACCATGGATACATGTTCAAATGGGTAAGAATCATATTTTAGTTACCAGGAAAAGAAAGAAAGAAACATCACTAGATTGGTCGATTCAGCCTGATATAATTTGTTTGTGTTTATTTTTTTGTTGTTGCTCAAGGTCGTGAATCTCACGAGAACGTTTGCACAGTCTTGTTCGCGATTATACTGTCGTACGCTCGGTTTAGAGGGCTCATTAGATCTTAATGACAAGAAAGGGCAGAGGAGCAGAGCTTGTTTTTGGGCCTATCTCTTCTCTTCTCGCCGACAATGTTCATATGGTGATTGTAATTTGTAATGTGCGACTGACTGACTGACTGACTAGTGACTACATTTGTATTGAATTTGTAATTTGATATCAATTCAAATTAAGGAACCGAGATAGATAGCTGAAAAAACCAAAACTACAAGTTCAGTTTCAGTTTCTAACTTGAACTTAACCAAACAAACCCGAATTGGACTGACTCGGATTTGGTATATTGAATTGAGCCCACCAGCCACCAGGGAAGAACATGACTCGCCCATTCTCAGAAAATTCATAATAATCATTTTTACCAATAGAGATCTCCCTTCGTTTTTTTTTTCATCACTCTTCTTTGTGTCTCCTTTAATTCTCTCTTTGGAGCTCGACTCGATATCTTCTTTCTCAGATCCACGAGGTCTTTAATTCTCCCATAGTTTGATTCTACTATTATTCAGGTCACCGAACATCTGATTTCCCTCCTTTTTTCTTTTTGTTGTTGTTTCTGGGTTATAATTGATTGTTTGATATGGTGGATTCATGAATCAGGAATTGCATAAGTTCCCCACTACTTGTTTTTCAATCTTTTCGATGTTCTTCTTAGGGTTGTTAAAACGGGCCTAAATTTACAGGGTTGGCCCGGCTCGTCTTTATATTTTCGGGTTAAGGCCCTATTTTTTTTTTAAAAAATATTTCGAGTTTAAAACGATCCGGTCTATACAATATTAACGGGCTTCAAACAAGGTGGATTAAAATTTCATGATTTATAATCCTTCAAAAGTACCGAGCAATAATATTGAAATTTATTTTCTTTCAATAAGAAATTTGAAGTATTAAAAATCATAGTACTTACGCATTAAAATTTTAATAAAATAAGCAAAATATATTTGAAAAATATTTTTTGTAAATATGATAATTTGAAAATTATTAACCATAATCCTAAAAAGTATCTAATATATTTAAAATATTGAGTTAAACCAAAATCATTAAATATAGTTTTTAAGAAACTTTAATACGAAGGTTTATGTTTTATAATCTGCTCATTTATATTTAATAAAAAATACTAGGTAGTAACCCGTGCCATGGCACGGGCGATTCGGTGAAGTTAATTTAGGTTTATATGGAATGTATTTTGAATATTATTTATGTTTGAGATTTCGTACAAATACCTCTGCACAATTGCTTACACTAAACTATTTTTGATGAATCAAAGCCTCGGTCCGTTGGACTCAAACTCTCTAGCAATTCTGTAGCACGGATTGTATGTAAGTGGTAAAAAATTCATCTAACCTTTTCAAATATATAGAGAAACGTTATCACATTTAAAATATAAATTTTACAATTGGGTTTTAGTAAAGCTAAACAAAAACTTAGTTACATATATTAGACATAAATACATTATATACAATACATACAAAAATGAAATTGCTAAATAGTGTAGACATTGATATAGAATTGGGACTACAATTTATGAAGTACTTGTTGACCTTGCTTATTTGTCATGGTTGTTTTTGAAATAATACCTTGCAGCAAACTCGGATCTGAGATATAATTTTGATATCAAGTGGAAATTTCTTAAAAATAGAAAATTACTTATACATTAAAAACTAAACACTCACATTGATTTATGGTTTCTGAGTGAACCATCGTTTGTGACCGAATATATCCTAGTAGCTCCAATTTCAATAGGAGTATCACTTATAATGCAAGGAATACCTACATCGTTTCATTCCAGATCGATTTAGATTTATAATATATAATAATACATACATGTATTCAAATCTTCCCTATTTATATATTTACTACATATTTATTGGAGCTGCAAAGTTCAAGTGTAAGGAAAAGTAACTTACCTCGGTATTTAGAAACTCTCCAAAACAGCAAAACACAAAACAAAGGGTCTGTTTTATATGTGAGATGGTATCCTTGTAAATCTCAATACTTCATAAAATACTCAGCAAAGTCTCCAATTAAATGACAAAGAAGTAACTCATTCCTGCATAGAGATGTATTTGTGTAAGAGATTATCACATTCTTCAAGTAAAACATTATGAACTTCTTAGGTAAATTTTATGAAATTGCTTACTAACCTCTCATTTATCATTTTGAATACTAAACCACTGACATTAGAAGTCTGTCCATAGACATTTACAACAAAATCTCGATGATTAAGTTCACCGATGTTCACTATACAGCCATAGAAATCTATAAAAGTGAAAAAATTAACTAAACATTTTGTTATGCTAAATATGACATTTTAAAGTATGCTTTATCAGAAACAAAACGTTTTGGCATCAGAAAAACATACCGTATGAGTTGTTTGACGGTAGCAACTCTTTAACAACATGGGTGAAATCTTCAAACCTTAAGTAGGGTTTATCTTCACGTGATAGTTCCCACCACATTTGAGTTCTGGTTGTGGTCTGGATTTGATAACGATGGTTGGTGTTTCTCTGTGATTAATCTGTAATCCTATATGTCTCACCAGTCTCCATCACATATGTCTCTAATTATATCAGGGTTCTTCAGATAAGAAGGTATAGTCATTTCGATTCTATCACCCTATATAGAAAATTCCATTAAATAATTGAATCTAATTGGAGTCAAATTCCCTATAAAAAAAGATGTATTTGTAGATAAAAGATTTAACAAATATACCTTCTCGTCAGCCAGAATAAGTACCCTCAACTTCATCTCATCAGATGTTATCCAAGTACTCAAAACCTTGACCTTTATCCCCCAGTCTTTCCTTTTTGGTGTTAGATCGGACACATAAACTCTAGGCATGGTTGTAGAGTAGTTACTTTCAACAGGCTACGTGTTTGAAGATTATATTGTTTAAAGTTCTTTCGTTTTAGGAAAGTGATGTTAATGGAAGAACATAAAAGAAGATTCTTTAATTTTTTTGTTTTAAGTTGATTAAATTAAATATAACTAAAAAGTTGAGAGGAAAATCATTTCATATTTGGAAGACGGCAATTACATTTATCGATACAGTAGGTAGCTAAAAATTTAAATTATGATCAATTATAGTTATTTGAATTGTCATATCTTAAGCATATATTTTGTTAGCTTCTTTAATGATTACATATATAGTGGCCCAATTACTATTTGTTGACATTTTGAATGACTAATTAGAATATAAACATGATAAATATATAGGTAGCCCAATGCAAAATTATAATATTTGCTGATAGGCCTTGTCCTTACGAACACTTAATGGCCCATAAGTTTGTTAATCTTCAAATGACTAATGGGCATGAATATTCTTACATTTTAGGTTTTCTCAATGAACACTGAGGGAATGAGGTCAAATCTTAAGCTATTTTTTTTAACCTTGAAAAATTATTCAGTATATAGTTTTTCAATTTATATTTAATGGATTTTGATATAGGTAGCAAAATTAGTATTTATAAAATAAGTATACGGACCTTGTGCGTTGAACACTTTATTTGAACTTAAAGTTAAATTAGGGCTATATATTTTAGAAATTATAAATTTCATATTGTGGTCCTTTACAGAACCAAAGTTTTTTAAAAAGAAAATGAGTTAAGATGGTTAACAAATGCAAACATTTTATTATTTCACAACGAACAATGAGGCTTGGGCTAAAATATAGGGATCCAAGAATTGTCATTTTTTTAACAATGTGTTTTGTTAGTTTAGAAAATGATTACATTTTTAGAAGCCCAGATAGTATTAATTGTCATATTGTATGTCCTATTAGAATCTAAAAATTACTAATATATAAGTAGCCTATTTTAGATTTTTAAAACATGTTTGTAGGCCTTGTGTGTTAACACTTCAGTTGAACGGGGTAATATATAGTGCCATCAAAATCTTAAAGGCTCCAAAATAAATATTTTGGGTTTTTACAGGCCCATTATATTATTAAGATTCAAATGATTAATGCAATAAAAAATCTATATATTTCCTCATGCAAAAGTAATTATAGTCACTGTATAAGAAAGATCAAGTTCCAACCTTCAAATTCTTATAAATATGTGTTCATTTCGTTTAAGAATCCTCATCATTTTTCGTTTAAGCTTAGATCGAAAGTGTTAATGCAATATATTGGAAGTACTATACTTAAAATTTGAAGATAATATAATTATAAGTCAGTTAAAATTTTTTTCCAAAATATTTGACAACTATTTTATCATTTATATACCAAAAAATTTAAAAAGATGGACGACTTTGGATCTTGATTCTTCGTTCCTTGGCTTTCATGCTTGATTTCTAAAATAATGCCGAGCAACAAACTCAGAACTGTGAATTGAAAGTTAGATTATTAGCAAAATATTATCATAAACATAAAGAAACCAAAAGACACATAAGAGAACTTACATGGTACGATGACTTTGGAGACCTTCTTCTTGAACATCTAGGTAAATCCTAGTTGCTCCACTACCAATATGTGTATCATTGGTAATGCAAGGGACTCCTACATTGTTCATGTAACGTTATTAAAAACTGTAGTCAGTTAGAAACCTTAACAACTACAGAATTAACAGAACAAAATATACAATATTTACCTTCATAGTTAGAGAACAGAAACGAAAGATACAAAACACAAGATCCGTTTTGTATGTCAGATGGTACCCACCTTCTTGCCACAGGTTGTTGAAGTATTGGACAGCACCGCCAATAATATGGCATATAAGTTGTTCATTCCTGCAAAGATGTAACATGTTAAATAAGAGTTCTCATCATCAATGAATTAGTCATCCAGATTTTAAATAAGTGACTACAAATCTAACCTCCCATTGATCAATTTGATAACTAATCCATTGATTCTTGTAGTCGTCCCATCTTTACTGTCAGTAAAATCCTCTTCTCTCATTTGACCAACATCAACAATGCAGCTATAGAAATCTAACATCCATACAAAATCCAATCTTATTACTAAGTGCAATACTTTCAATGGATCTTATAATTGTAAGATTATTTTCTGGTTCTGTAGAAC